AGTCGGATGACAATCAGCTGATAGTTGGGTGACCAGGACAGCACTGGTTTCCAGTTGGCCTTGGTTAGAGCCCCATTGAGGCATCTGGAGCTGGCAGATGCTAATCACACCAGGGCTGGTTTGAGCTCCAATGTATCCCAGAGCCAGCTGACAATCGCCAGCAGTGGTAGCACTGGGGCGTGTTCAAAACCCTCATACAGTCCTAAACCTGCATTCAATTAAGGCACAATGGAAGCCAACCACAAAATTATTACATACATTTTGTGGGCTAATTGTGTGGCCATCTTACTCTTTGAGATGTTATTATCTGGCCTGCCAGAGACTTTAGGCACTTATTAGGCTTTCAGTGAAATTTAGCATTCTAGGGCCTAGATTCACAAAGGGACTTAAGCTGAGCATTTCAATGTGTAACTTTTAGGGACTTAGTAGAATCCAGAGACCTAAATCAAATTCCATATATAATGCCTAGGAATGAGATCCACAAAAGCTAGCACACTGAGCAGGGAACCTTCTAAGCCAGCTAGTAGGAAACATTAAGGCAAGAGAAGTGTTTACGCTTCCCCTCTCTGTGACTCAGGTCCTAGCCTCTGGGCTGTAAGTAAGCGGCTCCTACCATATTAGATTCGTAGCTCCAAACCTTCTCCTGGAGTTCGATTCCTAATCCTGCCCTTCCACACAAAACAAAGCCAGCAGAAGAGGCGTTGCTCCTCCTTCAGCTAACACAGCCAGCTTGCAGACACACGAGCTAACACGTGGGCTGCTCAGTAGGGCTGTGCGAAGCTACGGGCCCTGATTTGATTTGGCGGAGATTCGGCCTAATTTGGTGGCCAAATCTCCTAATCCTAATAGAATCAGGAGACCCTTTAATCTCTCTGAATCGAATTGGAACCCTCCGAATCGATTCAGAGAGATTTGGAAAGATTTGGTGATTTGTCTATAGACACAGCATTAAATATTTTTTCTACATACCCCAAGGTACCAGGTGGCTCGTGAATGCTGTGACGGTGGGGCAGATGGAGCGTTCCACAGGAGCACAGGGGCCTCCCCAGCAAGCTCGGCAGCAGACCCGGAAGTGGACCAGAAGTACTTCTGATCCACATCCAGGTTCACTGCTGAGCACGCGATGGGCCCCCCACACGCTCCTGTGGGATGCTCCATCCACTCCAGCATCGCAGCATTCACAAGCCACACCTGGTACTTCGAGGTATGTAGAAAAAACATTTAAAGCTGTGTCTATGGCTAAATCATTGATTCTCTGAATCAGCATTGAGTCTTCAGATTCAGATTCAGACAAATTGAATCAGGGACAGTGATCTGAATCAATTAATCAAATCACTGTCCCTGATTCAGGCCGAATCCGAATCCAAATAGAATACAGCTCGTTTCGCACACCTCTACTGCTCAGTGCCCTCTTACCTTTAGTGCACCACATTCAGTCAGGTTTCCCTCCTCTCCTGGCCGTGTGCGCCATGCAAGGCAGTCCCTCTGCCACAGCACAGACAATCCGACTCCCACACAGCATGTGTAGCCAGGAGATGGGGGACAGGTATTGCACCCACAGTAGGGGTGAGGCAGAGCCAAGCATAACATGCAGTAGTTTGGCTCTGCTCCCCAGCCACACACCGTAGGCAGCTGCACAGCACAGGCAGCTCAGCTCCTCCCCACCACACACATAACACCTGTCCTCACTTTCTCACGGGGAAGCCATTGCTGGGGGAGCCTATGCGCCACGTATTAACCCTTCAGGAGTTGCAGGCAGCCTTGCAGGCTGCCAGTTGGGCAGCTCTGATCTAATCAGCAGTTAGAGCACTCACTCAGAATGTGGGAGACACCCTGGTTCATTTCCCTCATTTGTTCCAAGGAATATGAAGTAACAGCTCCCCTTTCCCACAAGGGTGCCCTAACTGCCAGGAAATAGGTATTCTGGAGACAGCTGCTCTGAGTCTCTTCTGCTGGCACTCATCAACTTCAGACAGAATAACTAAACATTCACTGCACCACAAAGAGAGTGATCATAACTCTACAGCCCCATGGTCAGGTCAGAGCACTAACATGGAAGAGGAGATACCTGAATTCCCTGCCATGAATATTGAATATTTCTAAATGTAAAATACTTAAACATGCATTAGAGAAGGGTCAGAAACCCTGCTCTCCCCTTTTGAAGGTGAATATCCAAACCACAGTACCATGGTGTCATGGTTTCTCTTTCTCTCTGGCCCAATTAATATTTACCTGTAATTATTCTATGCAAAGTGGAACAGCTTCAACAGTAGATACTTGGAGCTTCCCCATCCCAGCATAACCTATAGCCTGACAAGTAGGGCTTTCTCCTGAAAGGCAGACTACACGTTCAAATCCCTCAGACAGAGAATGGAACTGTATCTGGTTTCACATATTTTGGGCGAGTGCTCACACCACTATTGTATAAAGTAGGATATCTTTTTTTTGCCTTGTTCCATGTATTGTCTGACCAAAAGACATGCTTTGAAAGTCAGATGGAGTCTTTCTTGTGTATCTTGACAGAACTGAGGCGTAAGAGAATCTGCTTAGTACTTCCAAGACTTAAATGTTTTGGGGCATGTCCAGAAGTAGATTCTTGAACACCTACAAACTTTAAATGTCAGTCACCAGGGCATTTACAGGCTTCAGGCATCTTCAGGATTAGGGACAGGTTCTAGACTTAAGCATCTACTACGTTAATACAGGGCCTATGTCCCGCATAACATTTTTTGTGGATTTTGTTCTAATTCTATGTCATTCTCAAAAATAAATGGACCACATGTTCCTAAGTCATGTATAAAATGCAACATGTTGCAATGGTCAGCACATTACATCAAAGATAAAGAACACTGGTACAGCTCCATACTTAATGTATTAAAGAAATTCTTTATTTCAATATTGAATGCAAGATAAATATGTACTCAGGAAAACAGATATTTCTGAAGCAGAAATAGGCTCTGTTCAAATGTTTGTCACAGTTTCTTCCATAACTGATTTAAAGTATAGCTACTATACACTAAACTTGATTTTTAAAAATTCTTAACAAGTACTGTTAGCAGTTTTCTTTATCTCTAATGTACTTAATATACTTAACAGCTAAATACCAAACCCTGTTCAAAATTCAGGTCAAAATTCCAAAATGAAATGAAAAGTAACCCCCTGAATTCAAGCTATCAACAGCCTTTTTAAGCTCATCTTGTTCCTATGCACTGCTGAACCATACAAAGACCTCTATGGTAGTGACTGTTGTTCTGTACAATGGGTACAATGGGTGTTCTGAAAAGGGTGCCCTATTTAAATTGAATGTAACAATGTAAAACAAAGTATAAACCAACATCTAATTTAAAGCATTTTATGTGAATAAAAAGCAAAATTAAAAGGAGAAAGTGAGGAGGAGGAAGAAGAAAAGAATGGGTCAGCTATATAAAGGTATATGTGCTACAGATCATAGCCTCAGCTGGTTTAAATTGTCAGGACTTCCCCAAAGTCAATGGGGTTCTACTGATTTACCCCCATTTGATATCTGGTATGATACCTATGGAAAGAATATCACCAGAAGGTTAGCCATGTACAGTAAGATCCTGGGAACAATCCTGTGAACAGGATCAGATGGCCAATCCTGACTGACATCACCATGAGCAGTTGTGTGAATACAATTTGAAGGACTTGGCCTTTAAATATCCAAGTCAACACAGGACCAAGTTAATTTTAATTGTGCTATGTCCCTGTGCAAAGCAGAGTTCATAAATCAACACAGAAAATGCCATGCAAATGCTGAAATTGGAAGAGGCCATGTAAACAATAACTGTATTTTCCCTTTAACCCACACGAATAGCACTTGAAAACATAAAATAAATGTTGCTCTTATTCACTCTCAGAATCACAGAAAAGTAGGGATGGAAGCAACCTGTGCCTGAAGCAGATTCATCCTTATCCAAATAACCCCATGCAAATCCCTGTCTAATCTAGTACTAAAACTACACATATAATCTTGTCATACAACCACAAGGGATGGCACCCTAACCTGCCTTAGGCAAAGCCAGAAGACAACAGCGTCCAATATCCTTCTCCTGTGAAGGTTGTTAAATACCCTCAAGAGATCCAAGGAAGAGGGCCAAAACTCCCACTACAAAGGAAAGCAAAAACCTCCATAGTCCATACTAATCTGGCCATCGGGTGAAACTCCTTCTTGATGCCAAATGTGGCAATCGATCTGACCCTGAGCGGAGGGCCAAGACCCTCTAGTCAGGAACCTCTAGGTTTTAGTCCCAGCAGGAA